GACTGAAATCTGAGTAATAATCTAGTTTAAAAGACTGAAATCTGAGTAATAATCTAGCTTAGAGGACTAAAATCTGAGAAATAATTATTAGAGGACTAAAATCTGAGTAATAATCTAGCTTAGGGGACTGATAGGCATACGACAATGTCACAGGTAGTGTAAATACTCTGTAAACAGTTGTAGTTTACATCTGCCATGAACGTCCTGTCTTCAGTCTAACCTATATTTATGTTTTTTTTAAGTTACTCTTCCAAAGAATTTGATTTATATATACTAGAAATTCTATTGGTGTACGTTTTACACCCTATCCATGAAAATATGAAATAAAAAGTATTTTTAATACTAAGAAATTTTCTTTACTCTGGATATATATAGATAGATAGAGTGAGAGCTATGATCTGTTGTAAAAATGTATGCACTTTTTGAAACATAACTGACAGTGTGAAGAAACTGGAATTATGGGTAATGTGTATGTAATGGTATCCTAAGCCTAATTCCATAACACTTTTGTAATTTCAACATTGTGTTTGTATAGGTTGCAGGAATATTATAGTTGAAGTAAAGCCCCCCAGTAGCACAGCGGTATGTCTGCGGACTTACAACGCTAGAATCCGGGTTTCGATACCCGTGGTGGGCAGAGCACAGATAGCCCATTGTGTAGCTTTGTGCTTAATTACAAACAAACAAACAAGTTGAAGTAAAAATTAGTCAATAATTCATTAGTATACTGAAAACAAATCTTGGTTGTGGTGTGTTTTTGCTGATAACATTTAACGTTGAGTATTTTTGTTTTTGGCCTTCTGAATTGATTGAAAGACAATTGAAAATTGTACTGTTTTCAACTGATAGATACGAGATGCTACAGTAGTGATGTATATATAGTCAAATATAATTCTTGTGATTAATTGTGACTGGTGTACATACTTCGTTAATGTTAGTTACTTGAAGTATTTATTGTAGCTAATACTTCATTTTATTTTAGGAAGAGCACAAATTCCGTCCAGTATTTATTGATTTGAGTGATCTTGAATAAAAATATGCATAAAAAGCGTACTTGTAGCTGGTGTCTTGTGTGGTTTTATATATATATATACACAGGATAAATCAAAACAACTGTTGACAGACAAATAATTCAGAAGTGGAGAGCTACAGGAAAATAACTGCTTGTGATCTAGAATGAGACATTGTGAAAATATCAGAGGCCAGCAAGATCAACTTAATGTCACAACCTTTAAAGATGTTATTAATATCTATCATATAACTAGAATAATAATGCTTGGAGACGGCTTGAATGGGTAATTAATCAAAACTTTAATATAAGTTTAAAATAACAGTAAATGTACGACGGTTCGACAAGGTTTTGTCATCATCAGGTACAAGTAATTTACACTGACACGGATATATATATATATATACAGTATTGAACAAAGTGGTCACATGACCGGATACTGTTGCAAAACTTAGAAGAGATATCTTGGCACCCCAGGGTGTAGGGTTGTTTTGTTCAATTAAGATGGATTCCATGATTTTTTGTATGCTTATGTTTGGTTCTTTGTTTAAAATTACTGTGTTATTAAATAGATATACTATGGTTTTT